GATGATACACACACACTGCGCAAGTCCAATATACTGTATACTGATGATACACACACACTGCGCAAGTCCAATATACTGTATACTGATGATACACATACTGCGCAAGTCCAATATACTGTATACTGATGATACACACACACTGCGCAAGTCCAATATACTGAATACTGATGATACACATACTGCGTAAGTCCAATATACTGTATAATGATGATACACATACTGCGTAAGTCCAATATACTGAATACTGATGATACACATACTGCGCAGGTCCAATATACTGCGCACTTTCGTTCACTGCGGGTTTCGATAACGTTATGTTTTATCAATATATGTCTACGATCTAACATTGTTTAAAGACTCTAAAAGTCTCAAAACCTGAATAAATGCAACAATGATGGATATCTAATGGTTCTAGTTTGATCGGTGCTATCTCAGAATCCTAAATATTCATTCAAGTGTTCAATCACATAACATTTTCCGTCAACTTAAATTCCCATTTATAAGACTTTATCTATAGTTTGTCATGATTTATTTTTAGCATGTTTGTAACAAAACCTCTTTCTTGAGAAAACAAATTTCACTTAACAATTTAATACATGATACATGACATCAAGGATGCGCAATACTTCAAAGCGCTCCGCGCTCCTTTAAAAGATTATCTCAGATTATCAGATTAATTTACGAAGCACTAACTTTTGCTTTTATCTATGGCATAGATAATTTACTAGTTTTACACAACTAACTATTTGGTTTTATTCGTCAGCGGATTTTTTATATCGCTTTTAAAATATTTATAAAGAGCATTCGAAAAGCTACGTAGATGAAAAAATCATTCGACGAAAAAAAATGCGAGGAAAACTTTTACGAAATTTTACAGGCCATTATATGAGGCAAATCGTTACTTTGTCCGATGACTAACATGTATGCAGTACGTTTACTCCATCCAACATATTAAACATACAGTGCGATTCAGAACATTGTTGAAAAACGAAAATCTATTTAAATTTCTCAGGTTTAACAGTTCAGCTGTTATGGGAGACGTGGGTGAGAGTAGTTGGAACACACTTAATCCTTAGTATACACTAATCATTTTCATTATCATATAAGCTGTTGACTCTCCTTTCCTCTCTTCTCCTCTCCCCTCTTCTCCTCTCCTCTCTTCTCCTCTCCTCTCCTCTTCACTCAGTTCCCTTTCCATTCCTTCTCTTCTCTTCCATTTCCCTCAAACCTGCCATTAACCACAATCCAGATAAATTGCTTTTCATTTTCACTTTCATTTCCATTTTCTCTTCTCTYCTATTTCCCTCACACCTGCAAATAATTACAATTTAGTCAGATTACATTTCCTTTTAACTTTCTGTTTCATTTCCACTTCCTAACAAATTAATTTAAACAATAACGTCGAACGAACACGGATCAGTCATTATAACCCTGTGTCATCAACACGCCATTGATGGAATAGACGGTGTGAACCAATGTCAAATAAAACGAAGCAAAAAATATAATCGATGTCAACAGAAACAGATGGAAACGCGTGATATGGTTATTGAAATGAGAAACACAAAACGAACAACTTAATTACTAATGAAAATGAAGCATGGAAGCTTATTTTAAGTTCTATTGAGGAAAACAAAATATACCTGATGAATTGTCATCAAACCCTGAGAAGAAAGCCATCAGTGCAATGTTTGTATGTATAAAAAAAAGTATGACAAGAAGATTTGAAAGATATTTTTACTAGATATTTAATCCAATAAAAAGCTTTATACAATCTAAAAAAATGTTTTAGATGGTATAAAACTTTGTCATTTATAAATCTATGACAAAGGTATTTTCTATTCATTTACATGCCATTTGTTACCCCCAAAATGTTTTCAGGAAATGTACAGAAACAAGTAAAATTAAATAACCTCGGGACTGATCTAAGGCAGGGCATGGCTAACTCACAGATAGAACCCTGAAACAACCTCTGGGCTGATCTAAGTCAGGGCACGGCTAACTCACGGATCGAACCCTGAAACAGTCATCTGAGGCAGATTTTTTAATCTGCTGATACACTCGATGTAGCATTCACTTAACATATAGTCTCTTGGCTGTTCTAAGTCAGGACACGGCTAACACATGTACACTGAACGAATTGGGATTTATAGCGTGTTAGGTTTTGCGGAGAAACACCGAGAGAGTACCTGCATGAAACCCCTCGAATCAAGAGAGAGATCTAACTAACTTCTTGTGATAAGGAAACTTTTTTTGCGTTTCTCATGAAGGATTAGCCATGAATAAATGTTGTTTTTTCTTTTTTTTCCTTTTTCATTTCCGGCGTTATTTTTTCTTAAACCTTAACACTGAATTGCGATTTTAAAATAATTATTTATCTTACTCATGATTAAAATTCTTGATAGATCGTTTAATTAGCGCTGGTCCGATGAACCCGGGAAAGAAATAACGAGAGAATGAAAGATGGAAAAATAAAGAAACAGGAAATGATAAAAGGATTATAGGATAAAGTACAAGATTAAAGAAAAGCAAAAAAGGAAGAAAATTAAGCCCACATAAAAAAAATTCTCGTATTATGAATGTTTAAATAAGATGTTGAATAACAAAGCTAGAATTAATTTTGAATCCTCGTTGTAAACAAAAACCGTTCAARTACAATAACTTACTAGCTTCATTATATAACCATTTTGCTTATTTTAGCTCCAAAATAATATATTCTTTAATAAAATCAGTCTTACTATTTCAACACATTTTAATGATTCCTCTTCATATTGTTGTTTTTTGGGGGGGAAATTAGCGAAATTTCATATAAGTAAAGGCACACATTTATTCTCTTGCTTTGTAGTCATTGGCAGGTGAGCAAAGACTTCAAATAAGTCAGTCATTTTAGAAAGTTGGTATCTAATTTGAATAGTTTTGAATATAAAGCATTATTCAAAAGGTAAATTGTTTGTGAAGACTTGATGACATTGTCACTCACAAAGCTTTTACTATAAGTTAGTCTTCTTCATCAACACAAACTGCACTTCAATTTACGATTCTCATGGTCATCTCAGAACAGGTCAGTCCCTTTTGGAAAGCTTCCTTGGTTTCTATACTATACTTAGAACAAACATGATATAAATGTTGTGAATGGGACCTGAGTTTGAAAGTTTTTATCGTGTTTGAACACGATTTTCTTCACGCCATTCGTAAAAAAAAGAATTGATGTGAGACGACAAGATAAGAAGAGAATCGAACGAAGGAGAAAGTTAAAGACAAAAGTAAACAAAACGAAGTTATAACCAAGGTAAAAAGAAGTTAATCTAGTTATATTTTCATAATTTTTATAATTTTATAATTTAAAAAGCATATTAAGCTCGTCTTTTTTTGTTACGATCGATTTAACAGTATGTAAGATTTTGTTTCATTTAAATAATGAAATAAGATTCATTTAATAAATATATATACATTATTATTATCATCTTTGCTTTTTTTGTTATTACTCATTCATTCTTTCATTCCTTTTTTTTCCTTTTTTTTCCTTCTTTTTTTTTCTTTTTTCTTTTTATTGTTTTAAGTGCCTATATCCTATTATTAATGGCCTTGTCGATTATCATCATTAACAACATCAATAGTTGAAAGAAAGCAATAGAATCAAGAGATTATTAATAAGCCAAACTCTCTTAAACAAAGCAGTTGTCAACATGAACCTCAACAATGGGGTTATAGCAATGGGGTATTACTAAGAAGGCGAAGTTTTAGCTCACAGCGTAATAAGAATACAAAAAAAATGCCATGAAATATAAATCGAATATTTATATAGGATTCGCATAGGAAATGCGCCCGGGAAGACAAGAGCTTGCTATATAGAACACTTGCTATTTCATAGAGTGCATACCATTTATCCTTGAAAAACGTCGTAAGAAATTGCACAAATTTGTTCAAATTAGTAATTCCACTAGACCTTAGTAGACCGGTAGACCTACAAAACTTTGCGCTAATTTGTATACAATATTGTTTGTTATTTTTTTCATGGATTTATGGCATGCACTCTAAGCTTGCAGTATAAGTTAGTCCAAAGAACCCTATTCTAGAGACTTTCACATGTACAACTGCCCACTTAATAGAGGTTAGCCTAGATGGTCGCCTATTAGAGGTTGGCTATGTAGAGTGCGCACGCCAAAATCATCATTATATCATTTCTAATCTAGATTTTGTCCTCAAGGTTTTCTGAAGACGAGGGTAACAAACATGAACCAAACAAACAACCAATCTTCGAACACGACCTCAATACGTCCCAAGATTCCTAGCGGATCCGCCATCACCATCCATTTACAATATCATGAAGCACAGCTCTGGGTATCGCTATTTGTACTAGAAGGCCTGTTGATCATCACTGCGAATTGTCTCTCACTCCTCATTTTCACTGGTAAAAAATATCGCAAAAACAAAAGCAATTTACTGCTTGCTAACTTAGCAGTTTCAGACCTCCTCGTTGGTTGCCTAGCGACACCTCTACAAGTGTACTCTGTAGGGTCTAGATGGTTCTGGAAATTCGAGCTCCCTATCGCTCTTAATGTCCCCTTGGATATGTTTACTGGTTTTCTCTCACTGTTTTCTTTAACAATAATTGGTTTAGAGAGGTTCTTTGCTACATGGTATCCCTTTAGCTACAAGGCCATGAAAGCGTTCGTTTACGTCATCATTATTTTTGTCACGTGGTTTCTTGCTGCTCTCGTGCCATGCGCAGTATACCTTGTACCACATGACGTCCTGCCAAAGTCTTCTGTTAACTACATAATCTCGTTTCTTCTTTGTCTGTCTGTCTTCCTCATTCTCTTCTCGTACACCGCTATTGGAATCAAGATGAGCCTGCAAAACATTTCACAAGACCAGCGGCAAAAGCGTCAGAAGCGCATGATCAAGACCCTTATTCTTGTCACCGTTCTCTCGCTTGTCTCTTGGCTTCCTTTCCAAGTCATTATCCTTGTCTTTTACTTCTACAAAGGGAAACTTAGCTTTCCGTATCTTGTGATAGTGGCAACGAAATTCCTWCAGTTTGGCAACTCCTTTGTCAATTCGATAGTTTACTATCTGCGCATGTCTGGCTTTCGAGGTGACTTGAGGAGAATCGTATGTAGCAAAATACCCATAATGCCATGTTCGCTGCGAAACAAAGAAAGGATGGAGGAGGGAGGCGCAAATAACGATCAAGCGGAATCACGTGGCAACGAGAATGGAGAACGTAAGTGCAACAATCTTGCCTCGACTTGTACTGCTGATACAAATCTAGCCGTGTCTACAGAAGAAACRAAACTGTAAAACGACAACTAACATCTTTACTCGATCGAAAACTTGTCGAAGAAATATGAAAAGAAACCTGAGCATACTGACTACGGCATGTCAATTAATGTAAAAAGCGAAAGAAAATRAGACAAATTAACGTGAACGAGGTGGAAAAATTAAGATGTTGTTCRTTGAACTTATATTATATATATAGCAGCTTTGGTTGGAATCTGTCTGCATATTAGATACTGTCACAAACAATTGATAGTTCATCAATTATAAGAGAAAAGGCTTTAATTCGTGACCAGCAGAATTGATACATTGATACAGAATTGATACAGAATTGTAGCATTACTGACGTCCGTCAGAAGAAGCTGCTAAAACACGTTATAATCTAAAAATAAGCAGATTAACTTAATGCAATTCACTGGATTAGAATGAATTATATCGTCTGGTTGTAACACTTTAGGAAAGCTTCCATTTTCTTAAAGCAGATAGATCTGTCGAATCAAGCTAGAGAATTGAACGAAAGTGACAACAATTCGAATACGATAAGTGAAAAGTAACGTCGCTTAACTTAATGCAATTCCCGGGGTAAGCATGAATGTCATTTGGTGTAATACTTTAGGAAAGCTTCCATTTTCTTAATTAAAGCAGATGGATCTGTCGAAGCAAGCCAGAGAATTGAACAACACTGAAAATTATTCGAATAAGACACATTAAAAACAACCATAGGACAGACGTCATGACATTTCAATGCAAATATCTTCAAAGCCACACCCTATGAACACGTGAAGACGCAAGCGTTAAAAAAGACAAATGAAATGCTATTTTTCAAATCACGTGATCATGTCTAGTCACTCGACTAATGAGGAACACCTGTCATTCTTGGTAGAATGTCACGTGATCTGATCTACKAGTAGAAACTACACATCACATGATATTGATAAGATGAACATGATTTGGAAGTCATGAAGATCACATGATTAAATAGTCCGAAATCTCGTACTGGCCTATAAATTAAAGTTACTTGCTAATCTTCTTCATTTGAAAGAATCTAACGTTACGGCTACCCTTTTGACATTTAAATACAATTGGAATACCCCGACGTCTACTCATCACAATCCCTAAGCTTTTATGGAAACTAAACGCGGGAGCTTTGTGTTTGGCAAACAAAAGCAATATTCTACGAAGGCCAAACGTTTACTGTGCACGTTTAATCTAACGGTTTCTCATATCATTGTYATCTTAAGTCATTTACCTATATAACGTTCAATTATTTACTCAACATGTCAAACCCAGACATGAGGTCAGATATCTACATCGATACAGACATACAGTTTAAGTTTTACGTCAAAACGATATGTGCGACGATCATCACCAACATTAACCAATATCTTAGTATTGGATCGATTTTGAGACTAGCATCCCGGCATCAGGAAGGATGTTTCTAGTTGACTTGATAACAGAATAATGAATGACATTATCTACTGATACCAATATAACTGCACTTCAAACATCACAGCAACTGTCCATTGATTTCATGTCACGGGAGAATGGGTATTCTTCTCGATATGTCACGATGGAATTCTTCAAAGGGCTAGCATTCACATCATGACGCCTTCGCAGCTCGATAGAATCGTTGGTCTGAACAATAGCGGGCGGTTTTCGCAGGTGTAAAATTCGTAAAGTTTTTTTGTAGAATTCCGGGATACGAAAGCAATAGACAACAGGGTTCACAAGAGAGTTTCCATAATGCAACATTTTGCTGAAGTACAGTGGTGTGTTAGGAATAAAAGCGCAGGTTTTACACAGATTTCCGATGTAATAAATCAGTTGAAAGGGTATCCAGGCGATGAGAGACACCACAGTAACCAGGACTAATGTCCGCGCAAGCTTGCGGTCCAGCTCATGCTGGCGGCTGATGACTCGTGGACGATTACACGTGACCCACATCCAGACCATAATATACGCTATGCAAATGAGCACTAGAGCTGCTGAGTGGAAGATGAAGTAAAGGTAAAATGATAGCGTTTGGATTGATTGAAGAGGGATGTGTGAGAGACAAGGCACTGCCGCGGCCAACACCCAYGTGAAAGCTATACATATCATATAAGATCTGATCTTTGCTCTTCGATGTCTTATAGGCCACACGACTGCGTACATCCGCTCCAATGATACCAAAGCCAATGAAAAAATAGCAATAAATTGAGTAAAAGCCTCTAGTGATCTGTGACTCAAGTAAACACCTTCGTTAGTGTGTGTGCCAGTGAAATAAGAAATAAATACATGTACGAATAGAGGAATCGAAAACGCGCCCACGACAAAATCAGCAAAGGAGAGATTCAATAGGAAGAAAAACGGCTTGTTTTTTCGAAGCTTGAAGTTTAGAAATGTTAACATTGTTAATAGGTTTCCCAAAATGATGAAGATTGCTTCAATGATAAAAATAGTCGACCACAAAATAATCTCTGATGCCGACATATACGATTCATCTTCAAACTCTTCTAAAACATCGGAATTGTTGAGAGACTCCATAACTGATACGATGTCCAAAGCCGGTTTCTGGTCAAGACGAAAACAGTGCTTGACTTTAATTTTCCTTGGGTTTAATCCAAGATATTTAGTTATCTGTACACACTAGCTTTGCCAGACAACAGTCGACTAACTCTGAACTCAAATCCTTAATCTTCGCTATCACATAARCCGATTCCAACTCTTTACTTGGGGTCGGTTGTATCAAACCCGATGCATGTACAGTTTTGTCCTAGTGACTAGAACTGTCTTCCCTCAACTCCTTTACTCCGTATACCCTTTAGTCTAATTAGAATACTCCCAATTCAAGTGCTGATTCAAACGAAGTTTACGTACTTTCCAAAATCAAATAGAACGATTATAATTAGCTTGCTTGGATATCAAGCACTCAAGAAGAATCCGGCTTTTCCTCCTTAAGATTCAGAACTGATTATGACCYTGATTTGCTATAAAAAAAACAATGTTTAGCAAACATCGTCTCGAAAGTTACCATTCACTGTTAGTATTTGAAGTCGCCGGCATTTGTTCGGGCCGCTGTTCCTTTTAAAAAAAATTATAATTGCGAGTTGAGTTGTTCGGCCGCTGTACCTTTAGAAAAAATTATAATTGCGAGTTGAGAAGCTGGTTCATCAATGGTCACTTTGATGTGAGCTGTCGTTCGTGGCGTGAGAGGCTTATTCTCTACTTACAGGCTTGGCTTGCAGTACTGCCCACTTTGATAAACCCTACCAGCTTCCAATGCGGTGTTATTGGACAAGAAAATGAAAGATAGATTTTACATGCATCATGATATGATCGTCACAAAATTTTGTAGAATTTTTCAATGCAAAATAGTTCTTGATTACACTAGAACTGACTTCCAGTGTTTTCAGACGAACACTGACCTTGATTGCCTCGAGTTCGATAGTCAGACACACGACAATTCCTTCCTCGATGTCTCAAAATGCCTTTAAGAGGAACAATATCTGCCGATATCAACCAGATGTAGCCTCAACGTATTACCCAAGCGGGAAGTGTGCCAGATTTGCGGTAAATAGCGTGGAACACACAAGCTAGAAAGCGGTCAGATCCAAAGTGATTAAGTGACTAACAACACGGAAGATATGTTTACAATCCGCGCCCGCTATCAATGCTTTTATGGTTTGTGACAAAGGAAAATTATTTATCAATGCCCTGTCAAAATGACTCGGATTTGCCTCTGCTTTGCATAATTGCTAATAAAACCTGTCAAAGCTTAGCTTTATGAAGAAACATTAAGCCTATTCTATGTGTGTATTGTCAGCTCTACGACAAGCGATTGCGACGTCGTGCAGTTAGACAACTTTATTTTCAAAATTAGATTAAATTTGAACCGATTGGATCTCTATGCGTGGTAGGAGTTTCGAATGTTTTATCCAAATATTAATTACGTTGAAAATTCAAAAAAATTAATCCTCATTCTTCAAAAGAAGCGTAGGACAAAATGAAATCGAATAGTGTGTATATAATATCTGAACATTTGATCTATAAAAGTCAAAACTGAATTTTTTTTGTGTGCATTTGATCAAGATGATTGTCTAGAAGCAGATAAAAATGTCAAGATCCCACGAGGGATCGCCCTTAAAAGATTGTTTTGTTTCCGAATTCAATAACGGTTATTTATACAATATTAGTAAGAGATCGATCGCCAAAAAAAAAAAAAAAAAAAAAAAAAAAAAAAAAAAAAAAAAAAAAAAAAAAACTAAACAAGTTTAATATTTAAGGATTTAGACTAATAAAAAAGA